TCAAGGTTTTCCCGGAATATTTTCAGGAATTTTAGAAAAGTAGTTTCTGGCGAGTTGAACGTTGCTCAACTTTGCCTAATTTCTCGAGATCGATGATTAGTTAAGCAGTCGTGTCGCAAGCCGTGCTTTCGTCACTGAAAGATATGTTCAACAGTAATTAGGCCTGGTTCGTTGTTACGTAGAACTTCCAGTGAAAATCCAATTATATCTATTTATCAGGCGATTACATTTCCTTTACCGGTATACATGTCTCAAACATGAAAGTCTGCTGGAGGAAAGAATCGTAATTGCTTCACGACAACCATTATTTACTTTAAACACTTTTACATGCCGAAGATGTTTCCTCGTACATTTACACGGAGTTTAATAAGTCGTCTTTGTTCGATAAATACACTGCTCTCTTATCTCTGAAGCACAGATGAAAGAGAAATGGAATTGTTAGAAATATACAATGTTATATTACACTTTACAAAATTGCAAACTGAACGATGAAATTTCTTGTAAAATTGCGATAATACTTTAAGTATCATTTTCGTCGATAAATACGATTTAGAAATTACAATTTCTAATTATACAAAAATGTAGAAATTCTAAATTGCATAACTGATGTAACGATCACTCTCTTTTATTACCTCGCTGAGTTCACGTTATTATGAGTATTTAATTAAATTAGGTTTCATGCAGATGAGACTGGGTTCGTCATTACAAAGGTTGCATCGACTTGGCCCGTATAAAAAGAAAAGCCAGAAGAAAAATCCTTTAGGATACGGGACGCCGTTTGCGAAAGGCGTAGTCTTAAAGACTGTAATCAGGAAGCCAAAAAAGCCGAATTCCGCGAATCGAAAATGTGTCGTCGTTCGCTTATCAAACGGCAAAGAAATAACTGCTTTCATACCTGGTGAGTATTTTATATTTTATATCGATAGAAAAGGTGTCGCAAGTTGAAATTATTTATTATTCCAGGTGAGGGCCACAATCTTCAAGAGCATAACGTCGTGCTATGTCGACCAGGAAGAATAAAAGACACCCCAGGTGTTAAAGTAAGATGCGTTCGTGGAAAGTATGACCTACCACAAGTAGCAAAGAAAACTAATTAGTCGTATCGTATATCTGTAATGTAATGGTAATCTACGATGAATATCATCAATACGGATTTTTGAATAAAATATACATATTTTTGAATAAAATATACATATTGTTTATATTATTACACATTTCATTTTTTTTTTTTTTTTTTTTTTTTTTTTTTAAATGAAAAATGCAACTTCTCATGTTTTCTGATTTCAATTAAGTAAACTGTTAATATTGAGGGAAATTTATATCTAATACTATCACGAAATTGATGGACGGCCAACGAGAAAAGATTCATCGAGGTCATGGTTTTGGCGACCCACAAATCGCGTGTTTTTGACACACATTTTCGTGCACCGTTCCCCACCCTGCGTTTACCGTTAGCTAGCTGTTGAGCCATACATCGCCCTGGAGGACAAGCAAGCGTGGACACAATGTATATCGAGATGTCACAATGTAGAAAGAAGGGTACAGCCCCCTTCTTTCCACGTTATTACGGAAGGGTTGGGCTGCTCCTGCATCTGCACTCTGCATCCACCCACGCGGCCACTGGCTATTGGCCATATGACATGCTGACCAACATCCCGGTGTTTCCAGAAGAATGGCTCTCAACCTCGCCTCGTTTCAAAGAACCTCCAAGAAGATGTATTATTCATCTTGTCGATACACGCGACTGGTAGGCGTTGCACGATTATCGATGTATGTTCTCGACAATATTATGAGATATAAATGTGAAGTGTTTCGATGTGTTTCTCGTAACATGGGATCGAATCAAAAAATATATGAGCGGGGATGAGAAAGTAAATAAAATGAGAACCGAAAGAGTGGTCAACCCTTGCGGGGATTGATGACGATACGGAAACGTTATCAGACTTACGCAGGATGAATTCTAGATTCATTAGGTTTTCATGTCGTACGATTTAGAAAGTCTTCTTCTGTATCGTGTAAATACGAAATTTCCAAA